AGGCACATGATTTGTAACTAATTCAAAAATTTGGTACCAAATAGTAGAAACTATCTAACAAACTTTTAACCATCCACAACACGGAAGTTGGTGATATTATGTCGGTCGGAAAAAAATTAGAAGTGGGCTCTGACTTATTGATTCAGGGACTATGTCCCTGACTCGGGCTATATGGAGTCTGCACTGTAGGTTTTGTAATTAGTAATTTGCCAACAATTTTGTGTAAGAAGGGACAAAATCAGAAAAACACATGGGATTCTCACCCAGACACAATTGTTAGAGGACAATTAGACTCAATTTTATGTAATATGTAGCGAAAAATAAAATCAGTAATGTTTTGGTAATGAAAAATTTATTACTCGGAAACACACTACTATTACCAATCCGGTAAGAAGTTATTACCAAATTAATTCCAGTACGGAATATATATGTACTTCTACCAGATTTTTAACAGTTAAGGAAATTCTAACGCAACAATTTCGCGATCTGAGACCATTCAGGTAAATGTTGCTGCAGTAGGAAATATTTTATATGGCGTGAAGATCTTTCAGGAATATGGAACAAATTCACTCCATCATTTGTAACTGTGCATATAGGTACTCTTAAAAATCCAGGATCAAGATAATACAACCAGGTATTCAATTCATATAAGTGCATAGGTTCTAGGGGAATTTGCATAAAGGTCATCTCATACATATTGTACAATCTTTTTTGAATAAACACCTTTTTACATAAAGGATTTTTTTGATGATTGGATGTCGCGTAATTTTACTCATGCATGCAATTAGTCTAATGCAAAAATTAGGGGTGGATGTATTTCCTCGGTACAAAAAACGTGCTAATTTATATTATTAAGTAGCGTCAGCTACTTATTGTGATCGTTTTGTCCGTCTGTCCGTCCGTCTGTCCGTCCGTAAGCAGGATATCTCCAGAAAGAGTCAACATAATCAAACCCCGTTTTGGCCATTGTGCTCCTAATTTTTAGTTCTCGGTCGAGTTCGAAAATGGGGTCAATCGGACCACACTCTACAGCGCCAGGGGGTGTGGTCAAGATTAAATTTGACTCTAATTTTCATATGTGGTATCATTTGAAAGGAAATTTGACGGAGATTTCAAAGATGTTAATATTTTTACCTCGTGACCTTGGCGACGAGGTCAAAGGTCAAAAAATGCATAACTGTCATATGGGATGTCATTTTAAAGGAAATTTTACGGCGGTTTCATGGACGTTAATATTTTTGACGTCATGACCTTGAGATCGAGGTCAAGGGATATGGGATCATTTTAAAGGAAACTTGGATCGCTCTGACGCTACTTTTTTATATTCGTTGGGAGGGTTTATTTTAGTGACAAGTTAACTTAGAAATCGTAGAAATCTAGTACAAAAATAAGACCAAGCGGTATTTATGTAAGACTCGATCAACGTGGTATGGATAATAAATAGTAAATTGCTACTGACCGGTAAAATTGTAATCATACCAGTAATATAATTTTAAGTTAAATTAAAATCATGAAATTGTATGGGTTGCACGGCTTAAATTATTATTTTCAAGTGATTTTAAACTAACGGTGGACAAGATCCTTGATAATTGAATTGGTACATAATTGTACAAAATTTATTGTATTAAAAAGCGTTTTTTGTTAAAAAGAGTTTTTTAGGTTAAAAATTTTGAACTCATTTGTAGTTTGAATTACAAATTTGGAGAATACATATTTGTTTTCAATTCCCAACAAGGACAACAAAATTGTAATTTTTTTTTGACACACCATAAATAAAGCTCCACTTTGCAAAAAACCATCAAGTTTCGAACCCTGTCCCGGCTCTGAAAATATTCCCACTTCTTTCCTTTAGTAATAATAATTCTTGTAATAAATTATTCCAAACTTTATCCCCCAACTTTCTCCAGGTTTCCATCAATTCTTAAAAATTTTATTCATTCGCCTCACATCTTCGTTCCACAGTTTCACAAAAAATATAAAAAAGAGAAAGTACTCGAGTCGAAAGCTGCTTTCGCGACAGTTTATTATTCTACTTTCACTTCATTCTAAAAAAAATCAGTTTGTCTCCAAGAAATTCAAAGTCCTAAAATTTTGCAGGAATTGCCACATTTTTAAATAGGTTCAAAAAATTGCTCTTAAAATACGTGGAGATGCAGAGGTGTTGAATAATTTCAAAAGTTGTCATTTAAAATATTGTTTTTCATAATTTGAAAATTGTACAAAAAATGAATAGTTTTAATTCCAATTGTAATATTATTTGGTATTAAAGCGTGAAATACGAAGTAGATTGGTACAACAATTTACAACATCAACAACAAATTTTAAATCACAAAATTTCGTGGGAATTTCTATATTTTTAAAGGGATTCAAAAATTTTTTTCCCAAATTTTTTGCGATACAGAGTCGGCTAAAAAAATAAATTTTGATGTAGCTTATCCACTTTTCTCTGCAGTCCAGATAAATTTTGCACAATTTCCATCTTAAAGGGGAAAAATGCATGCAAAGATATAAAAATGAAAGAAAATACTCGAGCCCAAAGCTGCTTTTGCGACGTTATTATTCTACTCTCACTTCATTCTAAAATTAGTTTGAATCTAACAAATTTGAAGTCCTAAAATTTCACGGGAATTGCTAGATTTTTAAATAGATTCATAAATTTCTTTTAAAAAACGTTGCGATACAGACTCGGATAAATATTAAATTTTGGGATTGCTTTACTTCCACGCCGGTATTGTTTATTCCATAATTTAGATTTTGAGATTGCTTTACTTCCACGCCGGTATTGTTTATTCCATAATTTAGATTTTGAGATTGCTTTACTTCCACGCCGGTATTGTTTATTCCATAATTTAGATTTTGAGATTGCTTTACTTCCACGCCGGTATTGTTTATTCCATAATTTAGATTTTGAGATTGCTTTACTTCCACGCCGGTATTGTTTATTCCATAATTTAGATTTTGAGATTGCTTTACTTCCACGCCGGTATTGTTTATTCCATAATTTAGATTTTGAGATTGCTTTACTTCCACGCCGGTATTGTTTATTCCCAAATTTAGATTAAAAAAACTTTCAGTCCAGATTAATTTTGCAAAATTTTCATTTCATTTTAAAGTGGGAAAATGCAAAAATATAAAAAGGAAAGAAAATACTCGAGTAGAAAGCTGCGTTCGTGACGTTATTATTCTACTTTTACTTCATTCTAAAATCAGCGTGTCTTCTCGGATGGGGAAAGTTTTTAAAATAGTGCATTTTTTTCACAAGTTTTTTAAACCTGCCGCCAACGGATTTATGACGATGGGGCATTATCAGACTTCCTCCCAACAGGTACAAAATACAAGAGAACGTTAGAAAAGGAAGGAACGTTTTCCACGTTTTGAATCGTAATTTCTAAATTTCTAAAATCAGTTTGTCTCCTCGGAAAGCTTTTAAAACATTGTAGGTTGTTTCACAATTTTTTTAAAACCTGCCGCCACCCGATTCTTGAGGGTGGGGCATTATCAGACGACTGTCTTGCAACGCTTGATATAAAAGAACGTTAGAAAAGGAACGTTTTCCACGTTTCAATAATAGTTTCATAATTTTTGTTAAAATAAGGAATAATTGTGCTTGTAAAGTTTGAAACTTCGTAAATGACTCATCGAACATCTAGAATGTTGATAAGCATTTCAAAAATCTATAAAACTGTTGGCTGGCGTTGTATCCTGGCATTTTTGGGCTAGAAATAATCCCTGATTTAACCTCGTAATCGGTGCAAATTCATGTCAACTTTATAATTTTGAAAAAAATTGTGTGCATTGCTCAGGAAAAATTTCTTGGTATTCAAAATTTAATTATTTAAATCAATACCCCAACTTTCTCCAAACTAGGTTAATCGCACTCTAAATAAAGTTGTGGAAAAATTTAGCAACGTTGACTAAAATAGAGGACGATACAATAAGATAAAACTTCAACTCCAAATTTAAAATATTTTTTTATAAATTCTGCCCACTAATTGTACCATCCTCTATTTTACGTAATTTTTGCTTAATTTTACACAATTTTTGCTTAATTTTACACAATTTTATTAAAAATGCAGAAAAATTAAAACTAAAATTGAAATTAAAATAAACTTGTAAACTTCTAATCCCGAAATAAGTAATTTATGTTAATAAATTATAATAAATTAAGTCAGGTCGAATAAAAAAGATAGCACAATTGGGCAAAAATTTGTACAATATTTTTGTAAAGTTTGCACAACTTTATGTAGGGTGCGGTTATCAAATTTTTATTTCTTGCATTATTTCTGGCATTATTTCTGGCATTCACCATTCGCATATTTTTTCATTGTGTCAATGATACTTAATAATATAACTTAAGTATTGGCGTCAAAATTTTACAGAAAAACTTACTTCCCAGCTGTAAGTAATAATTTGTAAAATTACGCAGCACTTTTTAAATTTGTTTAAATATTTGTGTTTCTTAAGTTTAAAGTAGTATTAAAATTACTCTGTATATTATTTCTAATAGTAAGCTGGTAACTTTGTAAAGTTTACTCCGGTAAATTTTTTTCGTTATATCTGAAATCGAAGTGCGTTCAAAATTTTGTCTAAAAACCGGTTTCTTAAAAAAAATCGATTTTATCGCACTTCAATTTTTTAAAATAAAAATTGTTTTGCAGTTATTATTGAAATTTCTTATATTTCATATAAGAATTAATTGTTCTGAATTTATTCTCAAAATTAATGTTTAAAAATTTATACTTTACATTTCCCACACTGTCTGTACGAACTTTTATAACTTAAGAACAGGTATTGTTGTAAAACCGATTTTAGAAAAACCCGAAAACCGGTTTTACGGAAGTTTGCCACAATCGAAAAATTTAAAACCGATTTTACAAAAATTTGCCTAACCAAAATACTTCGGAAGCCACTTTTTCAAAATCTCTCAGTATTTTTTTTAAATCTCCCAGTTTTGGATGCCAACGCGATTTGGTACCAAAATATTTTGAATGCACACTTACTTGACGTTCCCATCTGACTCCGCGACCTTTCCCCGACCGAGGTTCCCCCACCGGGCAAATGGGGATCTAAATCCAGCGTGGGCAGATAATCAAACTCCACATGGATCACTTTAAACTCCTTCCGGTCCGGATCTTGCGAGGAAGTGAAGCTGATCCGTTTCGCGTTCAGGATAAAAGGCTGCTTCTGCGTCATGATGTAGGTCAAAACCGTCCGGCGACACACAATATCGGGAAGAACGTCTCTCCTGGAAATAGAAACAAAAATCGAGACAAAATTAGCAAAATTTCGCAATTTTTTCTATCATTAATATATTCGCAATATCGTGAATTCGATTCGAGTCAAATTTTTGAACTTATTTCCAGCACAATTTGGGTGAATTTCCTCAATAAATAAATGCAGTTGTAACATTTGTGGAGCAAATCGTTACCAATGCGGTGAAGCACAAAATCGAGACAAAATTTCAGAATTTTTGCAATAACATCGTTGTGAATAAATTGACGAATTCAATTCGTGCGAAATTTTTGCTCCTAATTTTCCAGGTCAAATTGTTACCAATACGGTAAAAAGCACAAAAATCGATATAAAATTTAGAAAATTTCACAATTTTTAGCCCGAGTCAGGGCTTATGGAACCGTCATGTCCGTCCGTCTGTCTGTCTGTCCGGCACGATAGAGCCAAAACGGCTGAACCGATTGACCTGAAATTTTTACCATACACATATTGGACAAAGTTAGGAAACGAGTTCGAAGATGGGCGTGATCGGTCCAGTGGTTGACCGGTGGGGGTCATCGGAGTGGGTGGGGTACTATGTACCAAAATTTCAAAATTGTTGTAGAGAGCTGAAATTTGGTACAGAGGTTGCTAATGGCTCCTACGAGATAAAAATGACTTCAAGTTGGAAAATTTTTTATCTTGAGTGACCCTATGGGGTGACCCATACCGATTTTTAAAAACCATCATATCGAACTGAAATTTGGTGGAGAGGTTGCTTATGGGTTTTAATGAAAGAATATGAGATGATATTGGTAAAATTTTTATCTGGAGCGACCCTATGGGGTGATCCATACCGATTTTTAGAAATTGCTTTAAAAAGTTGAAATCCGGCACAATTATACTTAATGGCTTCTAATTAAAGAATATGAAGTTAAAAGTGAGCAAAGTGCAACCAGAGTGACCCTATGGGGTGACCCATACTGATTTTTAAAAATCGTTATATTGAGCTGAAATTTGATATGGAGGCTGAAAAAGTGAAAACCACTGCTGGGTAGCACATGCATACAGCTTAGAACTTCAGGATGTTAAAGAAGCCCACTGGTCATGGTGGTCAAGGCACATGATTTGTAACTAATTCAAAAATTTGGTACCAAATGGTAGAAACTATCTAATAAACTTTTAACCATCCACAACACGGAAGTTGGTGATATTATGTCGGTCAATTCGGAAAAAAAATTAGAAGCGGGCTCTGACTTATTGAGTCAGGGACTATGCCCCTGACTCGGGCTATATGGAGTCTGCACTGTAGGTTTATTTTTATAAGTACACACGCAACATGTTTACATACACAAACTTGCGAATTCCAAATTTGTCAAACTTGTCAAAGTTGCCAAATTTGTGCACACAATTTAGGAGTGAATTTGCTCGATAAATAAATTTGATTATTATTGAACAAATCATTACCACCGGGGTAAAACGTCAAAAAATAACATTAAGTACGTCGTTACAAATTATTTTACTTTGAAGTATCAAGCAACCTTGTTATCTGTTTTAATTTATATGATCAAGTTAAATTAAATAAACATAGCAATTGGAAGCGAACCCTTACAATTTTACATAATTTACGAAATATTTTAGATGGATTTTTGTAAACTTTAATTGTAAATTTTTAAAAACTAATTCTCTTCAAGAATCTCTAATAGAGATTCTCTATTATGGAAGTCAATCTGATGTTTGTAACCCGATAAACCGTGTAAATGTTTTAAAATTAATGCAAAAACTTGTACAAAATAGAGGGACTCGATCTAGATATTAATATTTTCCCACCTTTACAAAGTCTTTATGATCAAATTTTTTGGTAAAATAATTTTGCAAAATTTGCCAAGTTTGTGCAATTTGTATAATTTGTTCGCCTATTATGTTATTCAGGGGTATCGATGAAGGAATAAAATATTAATGGTGCGTAATTTGATTTGTTTCACTAAAATCAGTTTCAAAAAAATATGTAAATTGCAGAATTCAAGCGTCGTAAAAGTTTGTCAGACTTAATGAAAGGCTAATGAAATTAGTAGAGTAAAATTCTAATGATTTTATGATTTACTGAAATGTTGGATAGGGGTTTAAAATGACGGGCAAAAAAGTTATGGTTAAAATTGTTGCGCGTTACTGTTTAGTATTTTTGGAAAATATGTCAAAATTCTCGGAAAAATTTTGTTCAAGAATATCAGTCAAAATGCTCCAAAAATAAGTCCTAGTTATCCGAAAATGTCATAATTTCTATAATTAAAATAGCAAGCATGTCAAAATCCTCTTAGAAGTTCAAAATTTGTCAAAATATGTCAAAGTTTTCAGAAAATTCTTAATTCTCAAAAATATATAAAGTCTGTCTTATAAATTTTCTTAAATTTTGTTTTCTTAAAACTGTCAGTCAAAGTTCTCCCAAAATCTCGCAATTTCTATTAAAATATTTAAACACTAATCCTAAAAATATTCAGAAAGAATTCAAGTTCTAAAATTGGCCAAAATTCGCTTAAAAAATATATCAAACTTTCCTGAAAACCTTACAATTTCTAAACAAAAAAGTAGGTTAAAATTTCACCATAAATGTATCAAAATTCGCTTAAAACTCACTCAAGTTCAAGAAAAAATTGGGTCAAAATATTCGTCTAAAAATATGCCAAAGTTTTCCGACAATTCCCATTTTCTAAAAAAATAGATTATATTCCAATAAATGAAGGTTGCAAAACTTTCAAACATAAATGTTTAAATTTTTTAAACTCATTCAAATAATATTTTTTAATTCATTCAAAAAATTTTTTTTTTAAATCGGTCAAAATTCTTCAAAAAAACTGATGACAAATTTTACAAATTCGGTTGCTTACCTCGGATCAAAATTATTTTTGAGCCATTTCGTCATCAAGTTGTCCTTCTGATTTTGCACGGCGTTATGCTGGCATCCCTGACAGATGAAGGTGTGGGGTCCGAGGACGTTTTGGCCATGCAGTTTCACATCCCCCTCGGACCCTTCGGATCCAGACTCATTTCCGGATGAGTTCCCTTCCTCGTCTTCTTCCTGAATTATGTCGTCGTCGAGCTGTTTCCCCCCGTCGTCCAGGCCGCCACGGGTTTCGTCGTCGTCTTCATTGACGCGGTGATGCGAGTGGACGTGGTGGCGATGGTCTGAAAATTTACGAAAAAATTGGTGAAATATGAATTATTAGAAATCTGACGGTGTGGTCAGACAGATATTGATTTCTCGGTGTTAAAGTTGCTACCACTTGGTATTAAATTATACCGGTCCGTAAACATTTGATATATACAGATATAGTAAAATTTAATACCCAGCTATTACTATACATGTTCAAAAAATATTTATTCATTCAAGGTTCATTCATTTAAAGCCTTGAAAAAAATATTCATTCCTTATTCAACATTTATTCATTATTCACCACTTATTCATTATTCACCATTCCTTCATTATTCATTTTATTAAAAATTCACATTATCAGATGAATTTCTCATGCATTGAGTAAAAAATGAATGATGAAAAAAAATATTCATTCATTATTCATTCACACGAATTGAATAGATACTCATTCAGTATTCATTTATTCAAAAATCAGAACAAAATATTCATCCAATATTCATTCAAGTTTTGGATATTGAATGAATAATTTATTCATTCACCATTAAATGAATGAATCTGAACATGTCTGGCTATTACTATACGGTATTACTTATCAACACCCTCTGGTAGACTCATATATGGTGATAAAACGTCACCTTAATGATTGTCCAAAAATAGAAGGATAAAGCACTTTTGTGGGGTACGATTTGTCTCCAAATGATTTAGAATGTACAATACTCCTCAATTTTTGGGTGATGATTACGGAAATGTTTTATTACCCAGGGAAGATTTATAAAAAAAATAATCAAACCCGTGGCTTGACGTCCTTATGCAAAATGCAACATTTTAAGAAAAAAAACTCTGATATTTAGATGCAAAAGTAACAATACTGGTAAAATAGCGTGCATGATGTTGGAGATCTGGTATGGTGAGGCAGGTATTATTAACGTTGCTACCGTTTGGTATTAAAATTATACCGGACCAGAAAAAACTTCGGATATTGTACAAGTTTAATGCTGAGCTATTACTACAGGGTATTACTTATCGATACCACTTTTGTAGAGTCATATATGTATGAATACCGCTTTTTATTATTGTAATACTGGATTTCTAAGAGTGTCGTGTTCACACTTAAAACAATCTGAAATTGACACGATCCAGTTGGACATTGATTAAAATGTGTTATAATAATCTTGAATTAACATGACTTTGTGTTACCCTTCGGTGGCAAAAATCTTTACCAACACGGTAAAGCCATATATTTACCATGCGTGGTGACGAATTTGTGACCAGAGAAACTTTGTAACCTCTGGCCAACTTTGTAACTTTCGCAAAATTTGGAGATTCTCGCGACCCGTATTTGTGGGAACTTATGCAAAAATGCAAAAATTTTATGCAAAAATTACACAACAAATATTATATTAAAATAGTTCATGTTTTTTTTAGTTGAAAGCCAAAAAGACATGTATTCCTTCTAATTTTGGCAGATTTGAAAACATATTTATTCATAAATTATCCTAATAAATGGATCGAATTTGAAAAATGAATTAGGTCAATGACGGAAATTTTATCCATTTTGAAATTATTTCCGAAAAGGTGAGCAAGATTTAAAAGTCCTTCTGTGGTTTTTTTAATTGTATAAATGGCAAGAAAAAATTTGAGATTTTTTTTTGATAAATTATGAAGACACACCTTCAACCTGTGGAACAGGCGTTTGAAACACATTTTTTGAAATTGGACTTCAAATCTTACATAAAATTATTAACTCTCACTGTTTCTCTTAATTTCTATCTTAGGAAACCCAATAATTGATTAAAATGCTAAAAATAAATCAAATTTGATGTGAATATATGTAGCAAAATCGAAATACTAATTTGTACTTGATACATACTGAATTTTAAAAATTGGACTCCAAGTCTTACTGAGCTAATTTACAAGTGATAAACTCATGTAAAGTTACGAAGTTTACCGTGTTACAATCATCGATAAGACATTACAAACCTGTAAGTTGAATATTTTCGAAATACAATCGTCCAAAGTTGAAAATAAAATATTGAATTTTCACGATAATAAACTTTTTTTTAAATTGTATACCAAACAGAATAGTTTTAATTCCAATTATTTTAATTCCAATTATTTGGCATTATAAAGGAATACAAAGATTCGTAGCTTAATTCTAGCAAATTTGAAGTCCCAAACATTTCGCGTGAATTGCAACATTTTTAAATAGGTTCATAAATTTCTTACGTGGATATACGGAGGTGTTGAATGATTTCAAAATTCAGTTGTGAAATTGTGAAAGTTAAAGTTGTGAATTTAAAATATTGAATTCTCACGGTAATAATTTTTTTAATTGGACACAACAGAATAGTTTTCATTCCAATTGGAATATTATTTTGAATTAAAGGATTAAATAAAGAGTATAGATTCGTAGCCGACATATTGTAAATTTGAAATTCAAAAATTTCGCGAGAATTGATTGCCACATTTGAAAATAGATTCATAAATTTATTTTCAAAATACGTGGAAGAGTTGAATGATTTCAAGATGCAATTTTTCAAAGTTGTCGTATAAATTACTGAATGGTCACGGTAATAAGTTTTTTAATTGTACGAAAAAAACGAGTAGTTTTAATCCCAATTGCAATATTATTTGGCATTAAAGTGTTAAATAACGAGTAGATTCGTAGCTCACGTGTGACAAATTTAAAGTCTCAAAATTTCGCGGGAATTGCCACATTTTTTTAAAAATAATTTCATAAATTATTCTCGAAATACTTCAAGTTACAGAGGCGGCTTAAAAAGTTAATTTGGATGTCGCTTTACTACTACGCCAATATTATTTATTGCATAATTTAGATCAGCAAGACTTTAATAAAAGGTAGACGATGTGTGGATGTGTGCAGTGTGACCAAGACTTTGTCATAATAAAAATTTGTGTACGTTACAAAATTAAGAAAAATTAAACTCGTTAAAAATACTAAACCTACAAATTTTTCTTCGAAACAAATTTTATAAAATTTTGGCAGTTTCTTAATTCGTATGTTTCCGCAAATCTCAATTCTTGTTCTTTATACGGGATCGGAAATTAAACCGGTAAAAACTTGATAACTTATTAAAAACAATGGAACACATTTCCTCCCAATTTTGTTTTCTCTTTTTGGAATAACAAGATTAAATTGGATCTTATTCTTGCCTCGTCACCTTTCAGCGACAAGGAGGAAATTTAAAAGAAAATTATTTCCTTTTCTAGTTGGAAAACAACTTTCACCACAGGGCAAATTCTACTACCTAATTGATTTTTACACCAGATGGTAATATTAAGCTGGAGACGTCAATTATATATTTGGTATTTATCTATAGTATAAACTATACCATGTTGAAGTGTACATATCTATTACAAAGTTTACCATTTTTGCACCAAAAATAAACGATTTCGGAATTTAAGTTACTCAAATTGTAGTAAATTAAGTTTAATTTCAATAAAAAATTCCTGGTTTTCACGTCACCTTCGTTAATAGCGTAAATTTTAGTAAGGTACATTGATGCAAATTAAGTAATAAGGAGTTTTATCGCTACTTTTTGAACGAACCGTAGAAATAATTTATGTATCCTGTTTGTTGTTTTCTTACCAAAACGAAAATTTCCAAATTCTGATAAAAGTAGACCGTTGACAAAGGTCGTCGTATTATTGGCGAGGTGGTTAAATAATTTATTCGGCTTGGTTGACTTACGTACCAACCTTTTAACTACGAGTGAATCAAAAAATGATAAGATTTATGAAGTCATCAAGCAGAAAATCAAGTTTTTTTCTAAAACGGTGAAAACTTGGGATTACAATTAAAATTAGTGTATTACACAAGTCCCATCATCACATTTTGCTTACGATATCACCAGGTAAAATACTCGTTAAACCGTTAAGGACACATTTGTCACATTGCTATCACCATTATCTACTCGAGTGTAAAAACTATCTGGGAAAGCGTACTTTCTCGCTCAAACCCATTAAATAAATTGTTCGCATTCTTTCCACATTTTTATCCGCAAGGGAAACTAACACCGAACGTGTTGGCATAGATCGGAAGTCTCAAACCTCCAAAGAGAAATGACTACTCAGACAAAATCTAAAGTCGTGTATGTCGACTAAATTCTACAAAACTCTACAAAATTTTACAAAAGCACATTTCTACAAAAATCAAAAATCGTGTATTTCGATAAAAATCAAAAATCTTCCATTTCATAATTCGTTCATTTCTATACTTCGACAAAAAAATCCAAAATTGTGTATTTTGTCAAAAAATCAAAAATCCCTAAAATCAAAAATAGTGTATTTCTTAAAAAAAATCAAAAATTGATTAGATTTTTTTTGATTTCGTCAAAAATTTTACTTCTACAAAAATAGTGCAAAAATTGTACAAAAATAATTGTCTTGTTTGTTTCCTTCAAAAATACACTATGAAAACTCCGTCTAAAATCATCCCAAATTTTGGATGGTTTCCGACCAATGTCACATTCTGGCCTCGCGTAGATACCGCACGTCATAAATCTCATCATTATTTGATTCACTCGAAGCTGGAAAGTAAGTGAGAGCTGAGTCAACCAAGTCAAATAAACTATTTAGTCACCTCGCCAATAATACAATGTATCTCTTGTGGTCTCACTTTCACCAACGAAAATTGGGAAATTTTCCTGGTGCACTGAAATCGAGAAGTAAGCATTATGAATTATTTCTAGGTTATACCAAAGTGAAAGGCGTATCGGCAACTTTCACCGTGGAAACTCTAATTTGGACACAATTTCTTCCAAATTTCGATAGATTTCATTGTTTTGTGTCGGATTGACTTTCACTTCGTCATGCTTAAGAACGTGACCAATTTTTTGATAGTTACTAAAAATCAATAGTAGGTATATCAAAAAATTTCTAAGGTTTCTGAGTTCTGCTTACAAGATTTCTAAACCTTTTATGTACCTCAAATTTTTAAAAGGTTAAATAAATAGCCATTATTTATGGCATAAATTTAATTCCGAAATCATTTATTTTTAGTGCAAAATTGAGAAACATTTGTAACAGATGATTAAAATTACTTATTTCATGTAACTTCGTAACGGTATAAATTCTCGACAATGAGACAATTCATGCAGTCATTGGTAACTTTGTAAAATTAACAAGATTTTATTACAAAGATTTTACTACAAAATAAGGAGATGCCCTTGATATGAGTACTTTCCCAGAAATTTGTGAGTTAATTTCTCTCAGAAATATTCGTAAAATTTTGATAAAGTCGGTAAGGTTACAGAATTTACAATGTTACCAAGGCCTGCGTGAAATGTCTCAATAAATTCAGGGAAGAATTACAGGTTATGCAAGAGTTAAATGCCAAACTTGATATGGTAAAGGTCGTATAACATACTTTATAAGATAATAAAGCTTGATGATTTAATTTTACAAGTTTTAAACTTTCGAAATTATTTAAATGCCGACAAAATTATAAATGTTTTTGAAATTTATTGTAGTTCAGAAAATAATGACTTTTCAAAAACTATTGAAAGTTTGTTAGCCATTTTTCCAGCTTTTTGGAAATTGTTTCAGAAATATTTACAAAATCTTGCAAAAGTTTGGAAGTTGACGGAATTTACGGAATTTACAATGTTACCAAGGACTGCGTTGATGTATCAGAAACTTACACATGTCGGAAGCACTTCTTTATTTCTTGAACAGAACAGCTTACAAACATCGAAATGAATCGCATTAAAATTTCAAAAAACCAAGAATATTTGTATAATTGTAAAGCACAAATCCCAAAATCTTTTATTTTGAGTTGGTACATATTTCTAGGTAAAACTAGATTTGTTCATTAGTTCTGGGTTATACCAAATTGGTGGAAAGTTTTTAACTTTGTAATCGTGTATTTATCCAATTCATCATTCCATTATTTCATCTCTTATGCAAGGAAATTTTAATTGGTACAAAATAAAATTGTCTAATAAAGTAATATTAATTAATTAATTATGACTTAATTATTTCCTCGCTTCAGTGTTTTGTGTTTAAGTTATTTTACCTCACAAAATAACGAGATGTCCCGAACTATTTTAGTAAACTCGTACCCGCGTCTAATTTTCCAAACTTTTAATTCACAAAATTTACACTCCTATCATTTTTCACCTTATGCTTAATACATGGGCGGAGTAAGAAATGAAGTCCAATGAAGTGAAATGAAATGAGTTTGAAAGGGTGTTTGAAAAGGTATGCGGTTTTAACTCGGCAAATACAATTATTACCAAATCAATGCCAGTACGGAATATATATCTGACTCTACCAGATTTTTAAGAATGCATTATTCAATTTTTTTTATTTTTTTACATACCAAGAAACGAATTTAATTTGATGGTTTTGAGAGAAACTAAAATATTTTTGGATTAATGATTTTACAAATTGTTTGACGTCAAATGTGATATTCTGTAAATAATTATAACACTTGTTAAAGATAAATGAAGTAGAAATAGCTGGATATTTAGTAAGTCCATGATAAACACGATTATATATAAATTATTGAAATTAGTTAACTAAAATTTAGTGGAATTAAAAAAATATGCTTTAATGATCCCAGTAATTGAATCAAAAACCCAAGAAGTTTTAATAATGATTAGGTCAATTTTTTTAACTTTCACATTCATCTTACAATTTTTTTGTTCGTTTTTTTTCATAATTTCAAAATTTGCAAAAAAATCAATCATTTCATCTGACCTACATATCACCTAAATATTCTAAACAAGACTTTGTTTTTTAGTGCACATTTTTAACTTTCAATTTTTTCAACTTTCACTTTCACCTTGCAAAATTATTTGCCATTTTTTATGTTTCCATAATTTCAAGATTTTCAAAAACATATCACCCACCTTTCACATTTCTTCTCGCCGCAGAGGCCGCTCTTTCACTTTCCGCCAGAGTTGGGAGGTGGACCTGAAGGCCATACTTTCTCTCCAAGATGCCCGACCCGATCAGTGTCGGATGCCCTTTGGTATCCACGCGCCCCTCGTAGCACGTCATTTCGGATGGAATTTTGATAAAGCATGCTGTCGAAAGGTCCCATCTCCTCGGGCCGGACGGGTACTGATACCCGTCCGGCAGCAGGCCGAGTAGTTTCACTTTGTAGTCGATTATGTCCGGCAGTGGGTGTGGCATCGGGGTCGCGACCAGACCGGAAGTCGAGTGCGGGGTGGCACCGGGTGGTATGGAGGACGACCCCCCAGCGGCAGGTGTGTTAGTTGAAGTCATTTTTTTGAGGGACAAAGTTTGTCGAAATTAGGGAGATTTTTTGAAAATTGGAAGTTGCGTGTTAAATTTTTGTATTTATTTTTTTCGTGGCGAAAATTGCCGTTAAAAATTTAGTCATGAACGTTCGCTTCGCGATTTAATTTCGCGCCTTAATTTTGTATTTATTTTGTTCGCGGTGAAACTTACTATTAATAAAGTTGAGGGTGAAAGTTAATTTTGCGCTTTAATTTTTTGTTATTTTTTTCAGAGTGAAACTTGCTATTAACGAAATTGGGAGTGAAAGTTAATTTCGCGCCTTAATTTTGAATTTATTAAGTTCGCGGTGAAACTTGCTATTTAACGAAATTGAGGGTGAAAGTCAATTTCGCGCTTTAATTTCGCGCTTTAATTTCGCGCTTTAATTTTGTGTTATTTTATCCGCGGTGAAACTTCCTAAAAAATTTAAGGGTGAAAGTTAATAATTTTGCGTCTTAATTTTGTATTTATTTCTCCCTAGTGAACCTTGCCCTTAAAAATTGTTCCACTGGGAGAAAGTAAATTCTAAAAATAACCCTGGTAGAGAAACTCGTCCCAGAACTTGTTCTAAATCCCCCAAGAATTTCTGTCCGGGATAGATTGACAAATAAATCCTTGATCAATTTTCTTCTGTTTTTCGTCTAGAACCCCGGTTCCTTTCTGTTACCCGGGTACTTTTTTTGGTGGTCTTCTTATTAATCTTCTTCTTCTCTCTTCCTTATCTATCTTTCTTTGGTCTTCTCTCTTACCCAGGTATTTTTTATACCTGTTCCTTCCTTCCTTCCTACACCAAAATCAACTCGCCTAACCGATTTCCTCGGTTATCTGACTTTCACTTTTTGTGTTTCTTCATTTTCATTTTCTTCCACTGTTTTAGAAACCTTATACATTTTAGAATTTAATGGCAGCCAAGAGACGAAATGGGCAGCGTGAAAGTGAGACGACCAACCCATGATTTCCTTCCTCCACGATAAATTTCCAATTATTTTCGTTTAATTTTCTGAATTTGTGAATTTATTTTTTTTCGTGGTGAAAGTTGCTGTTACAAAAATTTAAGTGTGAAAGCTAATTTCGCGACTTAATGTTGGTTTTATTTTTATTTCTTCGCGATGAAACTTGCTCTTCAAAAATTTTATGGTGAAAGTTAATTTGCGCGTTAATTTTGCATTAATTTTTTCACGGAGAAACTTGCTCTTAAAAAAAATTGATGGTGAAACTTAATTTCGCTTCTTAATTTTTATATTTATTTTGTTTCATTGAAACTTCCAGAAATTTGTTTCAGAAATTTAACGACAGCCAGGAGACGAAACAGGTAGCATGAAAGTAAGATGACAAACCCATGATTTCCTTCTTTCTCCCCTCCAAATTTCCAATTATCTCCGCGGTCTCTGCCTTTAATTTGGGAATTTATTCAAATTCCCACCATCCCGCGGTTGCCTCCCGTGCCGTGGCTCATTACTTATTGACCATGAACATCACATCGTTACTTTCTATGTAATCATCTCGTTCGGTCGCATCTGGTTGCAAAATACATAATTAATCATGGAAGTGGAACTGCGCGTTTCCGCCTCGTTTACTTGGGCAGAGAGAAAGTCGTCACGTCACATGACAAAATTTAGAATTTCGAATGTTCCCCACGTTCCAATGTCGTATTACAAGTTTTCTCGTAATCTTATTAGCTTTCAAGGACCAACTTTCTGTGTAACTTTCTCCATTCTAAATCATACTGAAAGTCATGTCAATTGGAGAAAGTCGCTCCGTAATCACGACCTCGCGTCTTCAAAAGGTTTTCATTTTCTGAACTGGTGAAATTTCCAAGGCCGAATTTCAAGTCCTTGTTTAATTAATTAATTATTATCCTTTGAATTCAATCAGCCAACCAAAACGAGAATTTCTCAAGAGTCACACAATCAACAAGGGACAATGCAAAGGTTCACTTTCACCCAGGATTTAGTCGTCAAGCTGGTTGTGTCTTGTCATTATTGCTTCATTTCGACGAGGCGTTGTTTTGGAGAGAAAGTTATCAACAGCTTTCAAGAGTTTTGTTCTTTTCTTAGTTTGAGTTCCGGTGCTTTCTCCGGGATGAAATTGTGCTGCTTTCGGTGCGGTTTTAGAGTAATCTCTTCATTTAAGAGGGAACTTTGTTTTGTTGGGATGGCATCCAAGTGAAAGTTGGAGATGTTGATGTTTCCCCCTGAAAAAAAAGAACAAGGATGAAAAATGATGTCTAAATAAACTCGGGGAAAGTTTTGTCTTGTTGAGAAGAAGAGAGATAAATAAAAATGTGCTACTTTTTGGAGAGGAGAAAGTGGGGAAAGGTGCTTGCTTGGTGTACATGTACTCCATTATTGACGGGTCGGATGGAGGAGTAAGTATCAAAACAAAAGGGAAACGGAGAAATGTTTTGGAGAAAGTAGAATGTACGTCATTTGTTAGAAGAGATGAGAGGAGAGGTTGTCGGGACGAATTTTATTTTTGGGAGAGGAGAGAGATGGTAACCGTATGGCGAGATAGATACAGATGTGTACACTCTTAGAAATTCAGTATTAAAATAATACCAAGCGGTATTCATATATCACTTGATCAAAGTGGTGTTGATAAGTAATACCGTCTAGTAATAGCCAGGTGTTAAAGTTTTACCAGATCGGTACCAAATTTTTACGGAGCGGTATAATTTTAGTACCAAGCGGGAGCATTTTAGTAGCGAGAAAGCATTACCTACCTGACTATACCAGATTTCTAACAGTGTAATTTGCAGAGTGTCTATAAAATTCACAATTTCGCGAACAACTGGGGTGCAAAATTTAGAACTCTAAATTTGCAAGAATCTCCAGCTTAGCAAAATTTCCGAAGGGAAAGAATTGGTAACCATGACAGCAAAATATCTTTGTTACCATAGCAACAGCATTTATCGTAAAATCGTAACCATAGCGACAGACTAACGCTAATCATAACCATGCCAACCGCATTAATTCTACAACACCACCAAGGAAACCTTTCCCATAAAAGTTAACGTAATCCCCTCCCCACACTTCACCTACATCCAAATCCTTCCCAATTTCCAACCCAAAATCTGATTATATATCGAACAATAAATAAATAATACTTTCTCCCATGTACAAAAATCGTTCCACTTTCCCCATAAAAAGGATTATTATTATTATTATTGCTTTCTCCCCTCAATTATGCATTCACCTCCGCATAGAATTTCGACTGCAATGCCGACTTCCGTTTTGCTGCATGTGCACCCAAGAAATCAGGGCGGGTGGGACAACAATAAAAAAAATCGGGTAGTATGACAACAGCCCTTCATTCATATTCAGCTGGGTGAATGTTATAGATAAAGAAAAGAAGAAGGACTGCAGACACAGTGGTGAATATTTTGCCAGTGTTCAGCTTCAGCATGCCTGGCGGCGAGATAATGTGGCATTTTGTTCAGTAATTTCTTATAGATTACATTACGATAATGTACAAATGATTACATAAAATGCTCAAAATTTCGAAATCCTAAGTTCTAGAGTTGGTTTGCTTTATATTATTCTGCAAATGAAAAATTATTCAAATCAACGTCTAATTTTGTTTTGTCCAAAATGTCCAAAAAGCAATGATTTTTTGAAATTTCTTGATTTCCCGTCCCCAATCTAATGTATTTTATATCTTTCTTCCTATCAAAATAATTGAAATTGGCGTTGAATTTTAGCTTTGCATAAAATGTAGAACTTGCAATTTTATAATGTAAATTTTGCCAGTGTTCGTACAATATGCCTGGCGACGGAAATATGTGTTATTTATTTCGCAATTTCTAACAGATTACAAGAATGTACAAGCTATTACAAAAAAATCTCCAAACTTTCGAAATTTTAGGGGCCGACTTACGATTTGCTGCATATGCACCCAACAAATCAGGACGGGCGGGTAACCATAAAAAAATCTGCTAGTATGACAACAGTTCTTCATTCATATTCATCTCTGGTTGTGGGTGAACGTTCAGATAAAAAAAAGAAGAAGGACTGCAGAGATTGGAAATACTTATTTTGCCAGTGTTAAGAAGTTGCCCGAGGGCGGAAAAATGTGCTATTTGTTTAGCAATTTCTCACATGCTACGTAAATGTACAGGGCATTAGATAAATTGTCAGAAACTTTGAAATTCTGGGTTTGCTAGTGCTCGATCTGATTTACTTTTATTCATTCTTTATATGAAAATAATTCAAATTGGCGTCAAATCTGTGCATAAAATATTTTTTGCCTTTTTGCCAATTGAACATTCAAATTTAGATTTTATCGCCCAAAACTCACTGAAAAAAGTACCAAACCAACAATTAAAAAATTTCTGGATTTTCTTTTACCACCCAAAATTTCCAAACCCTGTTTCTGTAAACCAAACTAAACGTGAGTGAGTGAACAAGCAATCGGTGAAGGAAAACAGGCACAAGTTGAAGTGTACTCTCAGCAAGTAGTTAAAAATTGATAGAATTTTGAGAGGTTACTCTCCACCAAGGAATCCATCCAAATTTCGCCTTTCTCCTACTCGAGATCTCATTTTGGAGCAAGTTAGAGTGAGTGAAGACAGGCCGAGAAATGGGGAAATTTGGCGAGGAGGAACACGTCGTGTGGCGTGAATTGACTGCAAATTCCTTCCTCACACAAAGGAAAAGTTGAACAATTCGGTCCGTGGCCCAATAAAAATGAAGGCTAACTAAACCATGAGATCAGAATGTGATTAATTTAGTTCTTCGACACATACTTTGTGAAAGCTTTTGGTAGGTATTTTTTTGTGAAGAAATGAATGTAAAGAAGTGGCGTGATTTCACTTTTGGGTAAAATGCTTGCTACAGAATTTTGTGGTTGGGCTGAATTTCGAATTGGTGGGGTTTTTTTAGTGGAAACTATATTTTGCACGGGCAGGAAGTATTTGTAAAAATTAATTTGTGAAAATAAACCATGAGATCAGAATTTAGAATGTGATTAATTTAGTTGTTAGACATACTTTGTGAAAGCTTTTTTGTGGGCATTTTTTTGGGAGGTGAATAACGAATGAATGAAAAAAGGTGGCATGATTTCACTTTTAGGTACAAGTTTTGGTGCAGAATTTGGTACTTCTCATGATTTCGTGTACAAATTTGCAGCCTTTTAGGAAAAAAAATACATTTTGCATGTGCAGAAAATATAATTCAAAAACATTTTAGCTCGATTGGCTGAGTTTATGGCTGACTTGTAAACTTTCACGGTTTTCTGATCAAATGCTTAGTTTGGAATTTTATAGTTCTGCTGAATTTCGCGTTGTAAATTGGCAGGTTTTTAATGAAATTTTGCATGGCGGCAGAAACATGTAAGAATATTTTAGCTTATTGATTTTTTATCCGACCTTCTCGGTTTTTGAGATTCTTTAGAATTTCTCGACTGAACTTTTTCCTCGATTTTTCTTTTGTCGAGATAAATCGAATCGATCAATTTTAAACCGTGTCACATGTTACATTTAGAAATGTAAAGCTGGCGAGTTTCGTGTTTAGAATATAAATTTAAGGTATTGGAATAAGTCCGTTATAGATTTTTAATCTCATTCTACCCCGATTCAATGGCTTTAAATGAAAATTTCTACAATTATGGCATCAATTTAATGAGTTTTGAAAAAAATCAACCTTTTTAAAACTATGTAAAGCTATCAATTAGAAAAAATAGGAGAATTAATTTCTGAGGAAATTTATTGCAAAAAATGGCAAATGAGTTTCATTTATTTTTTCATTTAATTTATTATCAAATCGTCATCCTGTGTAATCTTAGCAATTTTTAAAATTTCGCTTTCGAATGCCCCTTTTCAGCTAAGTCAAAATATTGTGCAATGGCCTTTTACTAACTTGTTTCACTAACTCGATCGATACAAATTTCACCAGATTTTCTGCACCTTTCATCCACAATTTTATCATTAATTTCGCTTTCTTCTTTACAAACGAGAAGATCCTTGTCCTATTTTTGTATCAAGAAAAATCTAATCAATTTCAACACAATCTTTTGCCATCTCTTTAGAAGAAAATGTAAACTTGGATTCTTTTTTCTAAAAAAAATATACAACTTTTTACAGGTTTGTCCTATTTATCAACATTTTTCTACACTCCTCAAAAAAAATTTAAACTTTAATCCAATCGTGTTGAACTTTCTCTTTCACAGTTTTCTTATCTTCACTTTTTTCCTCAAATTTTCCTCCTTTCTTCACCAAAAAAATCAATCTAATCAATTTTTTAAACCGTTCTATCTTTACAAAATTCATTCTCCTTTCTTTCCACACTCTTAGAAATCCTGGATTAAAATTGTACCAAGCGGTATTAATATACAATAACTCTGCCAAAGTGGTGTTGATAAGTAATACGTGTAGTAATATCTCGATATTAACGTTTTGTCATTTCGGTAGCAAATTTTTACAGACCAGAATAAAGTTAATACCAGTCGGTATCAAGTTTAATACCTAGAAATCAATACCTGCCTGATTATACCAGATTTCTAACAGTGTAGAAATCCGGTGTTAAAATAATACCAAGCAGTATTCATAAATAACTCTACCAAACTAGTATTAATAAGAAATGCCGTCTAGAAATAATTTGGTAAAGTTTTTCCATATTGGTAAAAAAACTTACAATTTTAATACCAAGCGGTAGCAAATTTAATACCTTGAAATCAATACCTGCTTGATTAACAATGTTGAAATCCAGTATTAAAATCATACCAAGCGGTAATCATATATAACTCTAAAGTGGTCTTGAGAAGGAATACCGTGTGGTAATAGATCGGTATTAAAGTTTTGCCATATTGGCTGCAAATTTTCACGGACCTATGTCATTTTACCACCCAGCGGTAACAACTTTATTACCAAGAAATCAATACCTCCTCGACTATAGCAGATTTCTAACAGTGCACGCATTCAATTTCCTGCCAAAAGTTCTATCTTCTTCTTCTTCTTCTTCGTTTTCCTCATTTAATATCAAGTTATCAATTTATTGCCTAATTTCCATTCTTATTTTCTTTTCAACTTGTCTTCGCTTTCTCTGCTTTCTCCGAATCTCGTCCCATCTCATCTCACTGCCAACTTTCTTCTCCCATTCTTCGCCGCCTCACGGGTGGAAGTAATTGGCTCATAAAATTGGCCAAAGTATAATACCCATCATCAAACCGAATCAATTCTACGGGCGAACCAAAACCGAA